AGAAGGCACGCCACGCTGAGATTGAGCTCACACTTTCACATTTTTGCTTCAGTTTGCGGAAACTTTGGTTTTTTTATGCAGTCTGAGTAATTTTTGCAATGCAAAAACGCATATTGAAGTGAATCCTTGATTTTTAATCAGAACTAAGCAGACTGTAAAAATCAGGTTGACCTTGGAATGGTGAAGACGCGATAGATTATAATACAAAGGAAGGAGATAAGAGTGAAATAAGACGTTTCGGTCCATTAATTGATATACGCCTTAACTCAGCGCCGCAACAGGACTTCGTCAGTATGACGATCGAAGTGCTTAATGGAAGAGGAAAAGAGGAAGGCCGCAGAAAAAAGCTGTTCACTTTAACACCCCTAGATTTGTTTTTATATCCTGGTGCAGAATTTGACAAAGTTTTCTACCTCTTCGACTCCATTTTCCCCATATAGCTGTTGGCTCCATTTGATTGGAAAAAGATTGATTACTCTTTCACTTAATGACATTTTCTCATGCATATTCTGCCTTCCGCTATGCTGTTCAGTAGTTCGCCTTCGGACTTTCGCTATGTTATTTTAGGTGGTAAATGAAGAAGGTATCGTCGGTTTTGTGCCATCGAATTATGTGCGCAAAGAATCTTTTGTCGAGAAAGCAAAAGGAACAATCAAAGGTTTTGGGAAGCCGAAATCAAAAGCGAAATTACCCGATTTTAATCAGGCAAGTCTTTTTGTTCTGTGGCTCTCAGAACTCTGGAGAAAGGGACGGAGAGAGGGAAGGCGGGAGGGGCAGAGATCGATTTAAGATTTGGAAATCTCAAACTACTGTAAATTGCATGGAAGCATAAGAGAGTCGCTTATAGATGAGCTAAAAGACCACATTAGCGGCAAAGGAAAACACGACAAGTATATGCTTGAAGAAGCAAAAATAGGTAACGGAGGCCGGGGCCAGCAGTTGATGGAACTCGGACTGCATCGACCATGAGCTGACCAGCGTCGAATTTGCCGGGCCATGATCAGAAGACAATGGTTGACTGAATAAGCCGATTGTAGCAACCACAATGACCCTGGAAGCTTAAATGGCAAAGGCGCGATAGATTACAGCACGAAAGAACAGTATGAGGAAAGAAGGTAAGAGTGAGATAAGACGTTTCGATCCATTAAGTCATATAAGCCTTAACTCAACACCGCATGACAGCACCTTGTCAGTATGACGGTCGCAGTGTTTAATGGAAAAGAAAAAGATGAAAGGAAGAAACAGAAATGGCAACGATATGATTGAGTCGTGTTTTTACTGATTTGCTTTCAGGCTTCGTCTTCGGAAGTCCTCATCAGCCGTCCTGCTTTAGCAGCTGTTTCTGGGAACGGTGGTTTTGAAAACGGTTTTGACAGATCATCAAAAGTATGTTTTTAAATAATCTCATGCCTTTTTTAATGAGTTACTGTCACTTGATCATCGATCCTGAGTTGTTCATCAATCCATACAGTATCTAGATCCAATATTTCTGCCATTCTTATTATATAAGAGCTATTCTTAGCCATTCTTAGTATATAAGAATGGCTGAAATATTGGATCTTGATACTGCATGGATCGATGAACAGGTCATAAAATCAGTCTTTGTTTCATCCCTTAGCTGTAAACACAGACAGAAGAGACATGGACCTGTTCTTTTGCATATTGTATCAGGATAATTTCTCACTTCCAGGTTGGTGGAGTATTGTCACAAGCTGTTGCCAAATATTCATACGATCCGCAACGCGAAGATGAACTAAGATTGTGTAAAGGTGATGTGGTAACAGTGTTGGAGAAAAGCTCAGACGGCTGGTGGAAAGGAAAGGTGAGTGTATTTTGGTGTTCTTTTATCTTCCATATTTCAAGCTCTTAGAAGATTTGCGTCTTTTGATGGCTACAGCATGAAAATTTTTGTGAATTCCCTTGAATGTATGATGTAGATTTGATTTCTTCACAAATCTCTTTGAGGCAGATATCTGGAGAGATGTGATGTCTGCTAGATTTATGTTCTCGAAATTAAGTATAGGCTCGCTGCACTTACATTTAGTGCCCTGTTATGAGATCTAATTTTTAAGAAGTTGTAATTGTTTCAGTGCCGCGAACACACAGGATGGTTCCCTTCAAATTATATCGATGAATCGCCTCCGAATACTTTTGGAATGCCAAAAAGTAACATCGAAATTAGGAATGGCTTTAGCAAG